ACCCATTTCCCCCGTTTGTCTATCTCTTGAGAAAGTGACGTTTTTCCTTTTCCCCCACCCCCTTCATTGCCTCAGTCGCCCTTGGATTCGTCCCGATCAATCGATCATCGATCATCGACCCAACAAACAATCAAGATCAAAGAAAGCCACTCGGAGACGAGCGGAGACATGAAGAGAAGAAAAGGAAAACGAAAATCGAGAGATGACAACTTGAATAGAACGCCAGCCAGTAAGAAACCCGATCTATGGATGCCAACGGGTCAGTACACTCCATAGACTGAAAAAAAGCAGAACCGTGATGTCGTGAGACTCAACCATGTACCCAGAGAAAGAAGATACTAAGAACCATGACCATGACCATGACCACAACCCGATGATGACCGATCCTGTAAATGTAAACGCCCCACCATGTGCAGAGCAAGACAGACAATGCTAACCGGCAGGAACCAGATGCAACGCCGTGTATTCCGATAGATGCGCCGGATGGAGACAGAGATGACGATGACGATGACGATGAGGGAAAGAACACGCAGTGACGAGATGATGACAGCTGAAAACGCCTGGCCATGCTACGCAGTCAAGCACAAGTCTTGATCGAACCTGTCTGTCAACTTAATCACCACCCTCGTCAATGGCCTGCGTGTCGCCCTCATCGCCCTCGGATCCATCTGCTAGCATCGCATTGGTCGGGATTCGTCGCCCAGCGCCGAAGACAAACTCCATGAATCGAGCTTTCTGTTTGTCGCGAACGCCTCGAAGGTATTCGTAGCTGCCGTCGATGCCCCGGATCTGGCCCTCGATCACGGCTCCGATCGGCCCGAGCATGCGTCCATGGCTGTGACTATTGCTAGCCTCAACACCACCCGCGAACCGAACCGAATCGTTGCGCCGGACCAACGGACTAACCAACTTGCGACGCAGGGTTTCCAAGTTTACCTTCAGCGTGAGGAGGCGTCCGCGATGGTCCATCAGGAGGTGCTTGTTAGTGACAGTCCGACTACGGACGCTGGCAAGAAGCCGCTTATTCTTTTCATACTTGCGAACGATGGAGGCATCCGGTCCGAGAACGCGGGTCCACAGGGAACTCAGCATCTCGCCCTCCTCCCGTTCTTGCGCATCGGACTCACGAACGACGGTCCGCTGCAGATTCAGGAACTGGCGATCGATAGACTCAAACAGCCCAAAGAGCGCGGTGGAATGGTGCAGCTCGGTGTTGATACATTCTTCAAGCACACCTAAGAATTCAGTAAAAGTACGGGTGAGCGTTGCGCGCGTGCGTTGCGCTGAAGTCTGTCCCAGGACCGCTGTCACGACTTGACCGAATGTGGTGGGTGTAGTCGCCAGCTCACTGCCCGGAGGAGCATCATGGGCGTCAACCGGCCGTTCCATGGTACCCAGTCGTGCAAGGGTTTCATGCAGATTATCGAACATGAGCGTGGGCAACGAGCTCGGCGGTTGGGCATTGATCGCTTCCAGTTCGCGTTTGGCCCAATCCATGACGATCAGGATCGAGTCAAAGTCGGCATCGACGTTGGCGAAGAAGCGAGTCAGCTCCAATGACAGTGACTTGAGGGATTCGGACAGCTCATCCAGCTGGCGCACGATGATAGGCGCGCTGGTCATGTTGGTGCCACGAACAGATTCGCTCAGGTCCCAGACCGCCACACCGGTTTCCTGCAGTGCCTCGATCTGCTGCGCGCCATGTTCCGAATAATAGATCAGGGGCTCAAAGGAGCGCGCAAACCCGGACAGCTTGACCAAGTCAGGGATTGGCTGAGGATAGTTCGGGAGAAACAATGTGCGCATCAATCCTATGGACAAAAGGGCGACAACTATGGAGACGAGGGTATTGGTCCGAGTGCTGGTGATTTTATCCAACTTCTCACGCAGGTACCTGAACATGCCCGCCAACGGTTCACGATGCTGAACTTCGGCGCGTACTGCGAATCGGATATCTTCATGCAAAAATAGTCACAGGTCAGTAAGCCAAACCAGCTCGCTGAATAGAGTTGTGCTCTGAAGTGATACCTACAATTACTAAGATCCTGCTCGGGTGCAAATTCCAACTCGGTGTCCTGGCCAGCTTGCCCGCCAGCCGGAGCTCTGCTTGGTGAACGTGTTTGGGTCCTCTCGGGGCCCTGTGGCGACATGGCCGTTGGTGCGCATGCAGTGGTCTCAGTCATAGCTGAGGACTGCTTGCGATCCTTGGTCACGGGGGCCTCGACCGCATCCTCGTACTGTGGGCTGCCCTCTCGCGATTGCGACGGGCTCACCCTCACTGTCGGCTTGAGGACGGGGCGCTCTTTCTCAGGACTGCGAGAATACGCTTCGTGGCGGTACCAACCACTTCCTGGATTGTAATCGTGTCTGCGAAAGCCGGGTGGTGACCAGCGCTCCGTGTTGGGATTGGGGTCTTCATCGTCTGGGTCCGATTCCTCCTCGCGGAATCCGGAATGCTGCGATGGAAGACTAAAGAGAGGCGAACGCTGCGTATTACTGCTGCTTTCAAAGTCCTCGAGCGACGCATCCAAGGACGGATGGTCGTCGAAGTTGTTATCGAGTTCGTCTAACATCTGGGACGGTGTTTCACAACGAATAGCCACCAGCGCCAAGGATCCTCTTGATCGCGCCAACGATCTGGACGACACCTCGCACTGCGCGGACGAGGATACTGCGCGAATGGTGGAGACGGTCAAGAAGACTTGATCAGATGGTTAGTCGCAAGCGCGCTTAGATACGATCTGAGCTGTGTTCTAGGCGCGGATGGATGGGGAAGGCGGGGGGAGGCATGAAATGTGAGAGCGAGGTGAGGAGGTGAGGAGGTGAGAGGGTGAGTGGGAGGAAGAGAGGGGAGAGAGGAGAAGTCTACCCAGAGTTTATAAAATGAGATGAAGGTGAGGCCAGGGAATGGAATGCGATCAGAGAGTTAGAAACGAGGACCGCGAGTGAATGTAAGTAATTAGCCTGGGTGCCTGAGGACCACTAGGGCGGCCTGATGGATTCACTGGAATCGCCAGGGAAGACGGGTGAGCGATCGCACGCGCGCAAGACCTCACAGAGGATCAAGTACAGATTATAGAGGATAGACGGTAAGTGTGTGCGCGTGTGTGTAAATAGGCCAACCAGTCAGTCAGTGTTAGAAATGGTTATGGGATGCGACAAGTCACAGCGGGTTCTCCGCAATACACCAGCAAAAGCAACTGTGAGAGGTGCTTGCATGAACCACCACTATAGACACAGAGCCACAGACACAGGCACCGCAAGAGAGGGTGCCACCTGTGTGAGACAGGGAGAGGAGCTATGGAGGGATGCGGTTAGTGGAGGGCAGATAAGATAGTCAAGTCAATACACGATCTGAATAGACTATATAGATAGATAAGATGGGGTGGATGTGTGGAGGGCAAGCAAGTATTCCGGGCCTTCGAAGTAGGTGCAGTATAAGATTGCGATGGAAGTATAGTAGTATCAATGCGATTCACACACGGGGTTTTCGAGGCAAGTAAGTAAAGTAACCTGTTTCTTTTCCAGGTACAAGTAGATGATACGCGCCCCTCGCATGTCTCGCTGGTCGGAGGGGGGGGGGTTCGGAATCCGTATTTAAACAATGGAGGGGAGGGGGGTGGCTGGACCAATCGTGGTGGGCCAACCCCGGGGTCATGTGCGATGGGCTAAAACCGACTATCTTTGGAGAGGGGAGTCGATGGGAGCTTGCAAGATGTCCTTTCTCTTTAGATTGCCGGTCGAAACCGATGGTGGGGGGAAAGCCCCAGGGAGTGCGCGAAGCTGTTGCGTTATGGAGTGCATCTCAAGAACCCGTTGTTCCCTTTTCCATCGCATTAAGGGCAGACAACGTGCGGACATATCAATGCGATAACAAAGCAGGGCGGAAGGACCTGAACCAAGAATACATCCCTATCGATTGTGAACCGGGAGGGGGGGGGGGGTTATCGATAAGTTAGCGATTGTCAGCGAAGAAACTCAAGTGGGGAGGGGCAAAGGGGACGCTGTGGCTGAAGTGCTGCAGAGAGAGGAGGGGGAGAAAGAAGCCTGATACTCCCGACGTACAGTACGGATGAACTCTCAGCAGCTTCGACACGTCCGGTCGTGCTTACTGCCACGCCATCGTGCCCGGGCACATCTTCCGATCCGCGTCATTCGCGGTCATCCCTGGGTTCAGATCAGTGGTACATACCGTATTCCGTACTGTACTGTATATCAGTCCCCAGATCATCTCACATCTCGACCAGATGAGAATCCCACGGTTTCAGGGCCGCCCGAAGTATCCGAACGGGGGAAGGCAGCACTCGCATCCATGGCTTGCCTGCACTTGAATGTGCAAATGTGCAAAGATTGAGTGTTTGTCTGAGGAAGTGCACACCAACTAAGCACCAAGTTGGCCATGGCGGTAGCAGGACAACTGGCCCAATCATGTGGCCGAAATGCTTCTCCAACGATGCAAGGATCATCCGCCAGATTGCCGTTGCAGTCGAGACTTGTCCCAGCGGCCATCGATGATTGATGGATTCATGTTCTCTGCTCAGTGCTCACCCACCCTTCTGTCTCGGCCAGCAACGGCGGGAAAATCAGGGAACCTTGAATGAAGGTTGCCCGACCGCCAACCCATCGGCACACGTGATCCTGGTCATCCTGAAACGCCAGACTCGGCCAACGCATCAATTTACTGCAACGGGAAAAAGCACAGACACACCTAGGGGTCACTTTCGGCGCGCATGGCGTCATGAGAGGAGATCTTTTTTCATTATAGTCTCACAGGAAAAAAAAATAATTGATACCATCATACACAGAGCAGGGCATTCATCGGTCACAAATAAAAAAAAAATGAACAAAACGTCAATCGGGAATATGTGTAGTAGACAGCGGTCGCGAAGGAGGCAAAAGGCTCTATAGCATCCTCTTTTTTCTTCCATCGCACGAAGATTCCAAAGTCTATCGCATGTAAACAGAGGGTAATGTTACATGACCCGACCAAGCCGCAGAGACGGCCGAGTGACCGGCTGTTTCCAGCACGCGGAGTCGCGGCAGACCCGTACGTCCCGGTCGGGATCTAGAAGGTTTCACAAAGGTGAAGACATCTAAGCGGTGGCCTCCTTGAGGTAACTGTAGGAAACATGTCCGTTAGCTGACTGTGCCTGGACCGATCGCAGGAATGAACGTACGTGATGAGGTCGTTGCGCTCCTTGGCCTTCTTGAGACCACCGAAGGCCATCTTGGTACCGGGGATGTACTTCTTGGGGTTCTCGAGGTAGGGGTACTGGAAGAAAGCATGTCAGTCAACTTGGTCACGATTGGTGCGCGGGTGGCAAGGTGGGCTTACGAGAGTGCTCTCATCCCAGGTGACGTCGGCCTGCTTGTTGGCGTCGGTGTAGGCGTAGCCGTCGGAGGAACCGGTCTTACGGCCGAAGAGACCGTGGAGGTTGGGGCCGACCTTGTGGGGACCGCCGGCCTCGACGGTGTGGCACTGAGCGCAGCGAGTCTGGAAAGTGCAGAGTTAGCAACCGAATCCACGAAGAGAATACAGAGGAAGACATCAACTCACCTGGAAGAGCTTGGCACCCTTGGCAGAGTCACCTGAAAAACCGGAGATGTTAGCCGCAGTCTGGATGGGCATTTGTGCTGCCGGTTGCTGGGGCTTTTCGCAGGCCTCCAACTCGGCCTCGCGCATGTGGATGATGGTAAGGAAACAGTAGGTGTCGAAGCTCGTCATGGTACTGCGTCTGTCGCTGGTCATGGAATCTTATGGTCTGGTTCATGGGTTTTGGAATTGCACTGGAAGAGGCCAGGCAGTGGTAAATTGTCAAGGCGACAGGACCGACAAAGAACCCATGATCATAACACATCGAGGCCAGAGGACACTACCACCATCCACCACCTGGCCCATGCATCCGGCAGCCCCGAAGACATTGTGTTCAAGCCGAGTCTTCGAGGCGACCAGTGCATGATCGGTGACACTGACCACGAGCCGCGACACCGGGGGATCAGGGAAATTCCAAGGGGAGTGCTTACCAGGAGCGAAACCAGCGTCCTTGCCCATTTTGAATGTGTGAAGGGGAGATGTGAGGGTATTAAAAAAAGGTAAAGAAGGTAAAGTACAGAGGAATTGGATTCAGCGGAGGAGATTCCGGGGGAAGAAGGGAAAGCAGAAGGGGAGGACAGAAAAACTTGCGATTGCAATTTGTACTTACTGGGAAGAGCGGCCCCAACAGCCCTTTTCCCGTGATCCGGGCCTCCGCCAATCAGCACCGCGATGATTCAGCACAACGGGCGCATCCGGGACCAGATGCCGGTGTGATTTTTTGGTGGAAAAGATGAAAGATGAGATCACCAGGCACAGTTACCGCGAGGGCTGTTAGTTGCCCGCCTAAAATAGAACAGGAGTCCAGAGTCAATGGATTGAACAGAGGTCTAACTTATTGATTGCTATGCTGTCTAGACTAGTATTTTCTGTTGAATACTGTACAAACCTCACTCTCCCTCCCTCTCCAGGTGTTGGACGTAACTAGTTAGTTATGAGGTATGATCTCATTCTATGCTCATTCCTGCTGACTCTGCCAGCCGTGCCTTCGGGATCCCGCAACCAATCGGTTGAATTCGATCGATGTAGAATCACCAAAGAATGGTTCAGGACGAGACTTAACAATGGAACCTCGAGGGCGAGAGGGGATGATATGAGAATGGTGAAAGCACTACATCATTTTTGCCATTGCCTTTGCTCTGCTTTTGCCTTCTGTTGGACCGGGACCAGACCAGACAAGAGCCCGGGGCAGTTTCGGGGGTACGGAGCAACATTTGCAAATCCCTGGACGGTCATTCGTCCTCCGAGTCTGACCGACTTGGCGTTGGGGCAATGTTGTTCCGCGCCGTCGCATCGTTCGGAGCAACAATCGCAGCCGGGCAAGTAAACATGCGATGCGCCGGGAGGACGTCCATGCCATTCAATGACTTACGTCGTGCAATGTAGCTGTAGAACGCCCACTGCTTTTTTTTTCTGTCGCAGTGTACTATGCATGACATACTCCCTCCAATCAATCTTTAGGAACCTTCCCCGACCCAGACCCGGAAATGAAGCCTTAGTATCGTAGTATCGCGCGAGACGCGACTGGTCATCATCGCACGTGACTCACCCTCACACCGCCCGGCATCGCCTCCCCGGCAAGAAAATTGCCCGTATCAGTATCAGGCATATCAATCAACCACTGCACCGTACTGCAACTGCATCCCAAACCACCCTCCTCCACCCTTCACCCCCTCTCCCAGGCAAACCAACACCAACCCTCAAAGATGCAGTCCACAACCACAATCCGAATCCCACGCTTCCTCCTCCCGCGAGGCATCCCCACCCCTCGAACCCTCCAAGCCCTGACCAGCAGCAGCACCACCACCACCCGCACCCCAAGCACAACCCCCCACCGCTGCGCCTCCAGCAAATCCGCTACCGGTCCCAAAAACAAAGACAAACCGATCGTGCTCCCGCAGCCGGACAAATTCCGGCCGCCGTCGCACCCGCAGCGGCGCGTGGTGCGCACCAGCAACGGGCGCGTCGTGACCGCCGACCCGGTGCAGTACGGCCCGCGCCTGACGGAGGCGGAGAAGGAGGCGCAGCGGAAGAAACAGTACCCCAACATGTTCCCGCCGGAGGGGACGGTGGCGCATAAGTTTCTGACGAATCGGGGGATTCATGTTTGGATTGCTATGGTGAGGCTTACCCTTTTTATCTTATGCTTCCGGGGTCTTGGGGAGATGCGTACTTCAATAGAGGAGGGATTGGGTCGAAGAGAAGATAACGCGATACTAATCACCGACTACTGCACATAGGGTGTCCTCACTTCCCTGGCTACGTTCACCTTCACCACGAACTTCAAGCGGTCGTCGCCGTTCGCGCATCTGCTCCCGTCGTGGTCCGGGTTGCTGTCGCATCCGTTCGATACGGTCGGCCAGGCGCTCGCGGTGTTCCGCATGCATGTCGAGCATTCGTCGCAGCAGACGCGCGAGAAGCGCCGGCAGCGCGTCGAGGATGCCGAGAAGCGGAGGCAGTATCGCATCGCGCATGGGTTGGAGGAGGCGCCGGAGGCTGCGGAGGGTGCTGCGGCGGCGGCTACCGTGGAGGCGGTGGATGATCAGTCGCCTATTGCTCGCGAGGCGGCGGACGGCACGTATGTCGATTGGGAGGGGCAGAAGAGGCCCGTGAAGAAGTGGTTGGGGATTTGGTAGGCTGGTATCGGATCCGTCCGGTGCAAGCGGGAGTCGGATTGGAGAGAAGAGGTGCTGCGGTGTGTAAGATGGGGGATGTAGTTGGGGAAGATTTTTAGCATATCTTAGGTCTATGTACAATACTACTAGCTTTCCACCCTCCTTGGCGGATTGTCCTCTTGTCTACCGGGGGCTAAACATCTGGCGATTTATCGCTGTGGTTTAGTATCACGCTCTTTCGGGTGGATATGCGCTTTTTTCCCCCTCGAAAACACGCTCAGAAGATGTCTGCCATGAGGGATGACAGTTTATCCCCCAGTGTCCCAGAGCGACAAGCCAGACCTCCTGAACCGCTCAACCAACCTCCACACTCTCCAAACCCTCCAGAACCTCCTCACCAACCCCACCCTTCTCCAGCACCAACTTGACCATCTTAGCCACCGTGCGCCTCTTCACCCCTCCCCGACGAGGCCTCCACACGCCCGGAACCTCCTCCTCGCCCGTCACCGGATTCAGAACCGCCGTCGCCGCCGCCGGCTGCTGCTCCTCCGAGCCAGCAGCGCCAGCCGTAGCCCCCAGCGTCGCCACGTTCTCGGAATTCGGCACCCCAGGCTGCGTCAGCCGCGAGGGGGGATCGATCGTCCGGATGGACAACAGCTTCAGGCCACCCTCGGAACCACCATCGCGCGTCACCGAGATGGCCAGCACGGTATCAGCGACGGCGATCTCCTCGCGGTTCGGGTCGAAGATGACATTGTCGCCCACGGCGATCACCAAGAGGGTCACCGGCGGCCGAACATGCTGCACGGGAGGAGGAACACCACCCGCCGCGCTACCGCCGAACTTGGGGAACGAAGAAGAAGCTCTGGGATACAGATACTCGGCCGCATTCCAGTCATCGTCGAAAAAGGGATCCTCCTCGCCCTTGGATTTCAACTTGGGGAGTTTCGTCGCCAGAAGCGCCAGATGTGTCGTCAGGGACAACAAGGGGAGAGGGTAGGAGAGTGGTTGCGATAGTAGTAATACCTGTTTCGTCGGGTTGTCAGTTAGCAAGTGAAACTTTCACTCCAACGCCCTTTTCTCCCGTCACAAAAAAGAAAAAAAAAACAAAGAGGGGGGACGTGATCTCTTACATCAATATACAACCGCCAATGCCACCTCCGATTAATGACCAACCTGCCCTTCAAACCCCCCTCCATCTCTTTTTCGCCATCCCCACTAGCACCCTTACTCCCGGAAGAAACACTCTCAACCAACGGCTCCCGCATCATCTCCGCCAGGAACACCGGCAGGGCATCGTCGTCCCGAAACCCGGGGATCTCAATGCTCATCTGCACCCACGACCCATGACCGGCCGTAGCAGCACCAGCACCCGCGGCAGAGCCCGACCCCTCCCCGCTTTCGCCATCAAGATCCCCTGCGCCTTCGGCCTCGGCGAGAGTATAGCTGGCCGCAGCACCCACCACCGTCCGCTCCACCTCGGCCTTCACGCCGACGATCGCCTGCGTCCCGTCGGCGAACCCGACGCGCGCGCTGCCGTTCGTGCCGGGCAGCAGATCGGTCTCGGCGGTCAGGGGCCGGAACTGCGTGGCTGAGCGGCCATCGGGTCGGATGGGGTTCTGCGGGAGACTGAGCGAGGTGTAGAGGTAGGAGAGTTCGGCGGGGGAGATGTGCGGGGTTTGGGAGGCGGAGGTGGCTTGCCGTTGGGTTGACATTTTTCTGGCTTGTCTCGCCCGGAGAACAGGAAGATGCGTGCGTATGAGTCGAAGATAGTATTAGATCAGTGCGATCAAGGGTAGAGGTATAGGCAGTCTCCGCAGCTATCGGCAGCCCCTCGAGGAATTTCGAGATCAAGGACTAAAGTCCTGGGAACCGGATAATTTCTTGCTTTGGTGATTGAGCGACAGGATTCTGTCGCAAAGAACGTTGAGCGAGCTCAAGCTGAGAAGCTCTGTATGACCTGCTGAGACGAGCAGTCTTTCGGTCGCGCCAGGGTTTTATTGCTGAAATGTTGAAGAGTTAACAAGTCGATCTGAAGCTTTTGACGTAGTGCTGCTTTGGGAAATTCTGCCGGAATGTCGGCGGAAGGGTTGTTCCGTCTCGGTAGATTCGATCTTCCATACTATCTATCTACTTATCATTGAACATATCCCTTTCTGTGTACTATGCTAAACCTTCGGATTTTTTTACACATGGAAAAACGGTATGTGCAGATACATACAGACGTCGTCTGCGTAATTAGATGTGTATATATAAATAGACGAATATGTCGTCGAGATGATCCTATATTACAAGATGTTGAAGCTCCAGACCAGCCACCGATGCTCCTCAGCCAAATCATAAACTGTACAATAGGTGAAGGGAAGTTTTGAGGAACAGTGCAAAAGCACTCTCCATCCGCGCAATGAGGGTCAAGAAGGGGAAGGGGAGGGTTTGATGACCGAGGGAATGTTGCCACAGAAAATATACATAGGGATGAAGGGAGTTTGGACAAAAGGAAAGGTGCTATGAGTATGTAAGACATGTTGGGGAATGGTTCAGATATATATATAGGGTGGGAGATGAGTGTAAGAATCGCGACTCGCGCAATTGGTATCAAGGACGAGGGATGAGCAATGTGCAGGTGTTGTAAAAATGGTCAATGAATGGAAGACGAATAAACGGCATGCCGAAAACAGGTTGCGAGGCCGACTGTATCTATGAATAAGGCCTTTGGGGTATGAGAACAATGCAAACAAAAGAAAGGCAACCCCGGACTGAAACCTCGGGCTATACAAACGGGTATGGGAAATGAAGCGCAGGATGAAAGATGAAAGAGAAAAAGGCTGCCAGTCCTCACACAAGATAAAATCACACAGTAGACACCAGATCCCGTACGCCTTGCTCGGTGAAATTGCCGGTTACGCGCATGACCACTCATTTTTCTGACTTTTTGGTGTAGATGCAAGCATATTCAACGGAAGATGATGATGAGTTAAAAAGAAAAGTGCGATGGCCCGCCGAACCGAAGCTACCGATAAGTTGCTGATCCGGTCATGAACTTGGTGGTAGCCGAAGCCGACTTGGTCCATTCGGCTTCGTCGTAAGGCGGTGTGGGCCATTGGCGGTTGGAGTTTGCTTCTGTCTTCTCGGCTGGGAGTCGTCGACATGGAGTTGTCTCTGGGCCGAAGAAGCCACCTTCGCAGTTGGCGGAAGGCGATGGAGTTGGATAAGGGCTTGGCAATGGACGCCCGCTGTCATTACCTCCAGCTGCGTGGCTGTAGCCGTCGGAGGTGATATCAGCCTGTGCTAGTCGCCGAGCAGCTTTGCTGGCTGAATGAAGCACTTCGTCAAGAAGCTCATCCTCTTCCTCGGGAGTTTCGTAACGGTGAATGGGGTTGTTAGACATCTGCATTGCACGCCTAGTCCGGCTGGAGATGGGCCCTCCAGTACCACTGGTTGAGACGGGGCTGTCGCCCATTGTCCGGATGGATCCTTGGGGCATGGACTGGCGCTTGGTACCATCCACATGGGTGGTGATCTGCACAGGAACATTCCCCCGGTTGTTGGAATCAAGAGAATGCCTCACACTCTGCAGGGCCTTGTCCAGTTCCGCAAAGTCGGAGGTGGACTTGGATTCGCTGACGTTGACAGAGTCCAGAGCCAGCGAGGAACGATTTGACCAAGGCATGCATCCAGCGTTGGATTCCACATCATCGCCAGAGACATTGCCCTGGTTGCGTCCAGATAGCCGACGAGCACGCTTGCGCAAGTGAGAGAAGAAGCTCTCTTTCGGCGTGATGACTGCGCTTCCGCCATTGAGGGCCCTCTCCGCCTCCTGCCTGTGAATATCGGCATAGTGATTGCCGTTCGAATTGACTGACAACTGCCGGCCGATCTTCTTGCTGGCTTTGCCCGCGCTGTCGCCAGAGTGAGCCAGGGTTGCATTCGCTTGCGCTGTCACTGCGTTGGACAAGGGGGATACGGGTCGAATCGAAGGCAGAATAGGCATGGGAGCGCCATTGGCCCAGGTAGCCCGCTTGATAGGCGGGGGTCTGATCTTGCTCGGCTGCAGCTCCGAAGGATAGGAGGTGACGCTTGGTTTGGCGGCATGATCGTTCTCCGTGGGCTGGACCGGACTCTCAGACCTTCCGATCAACGATCTCCTGAACCAAGACGCCTTGTAGGTGAGTGTGGGCGAGTCGCTCTGCTCCCGAGTCGCACTCTTGAGGACCTTTTCGGAGTGCTTGCGACCCAAGAGGCGAGCAGTCGAAGACTTCGGTCTCAACGGATCAATAGCATCGGCAAAGTACTCATGGTTCAATGCCTGAGTAGACGTCGGCCGGTTCTTAGGATCCCACATCAGGCACCAGGTAACAAACTGACTGAGGGCAACAGGCCACTGAGGGGCTTGGAGAATGCTTTCCATCGCATGAGGGGCCATCTGATATAACGTTAGTGCCTTGATCGGGCGAACTGATGCACCGGTGGTCATGGTTCGTACCTTGGGGAAAGTGAAACCCAGCTTCTGAGCCAAGCGAGAGCCCTCTCTCCACTCACCACCTCCGAGCTTGCCCCCAGACTTACTGTACCAATTACCGGGGCTGCCCATGATTTCACACACGCGCCACACCTGGTCAACCTCATTGCCTCCGGGGAATAGTGGCTTGAGGGTTGCGATCTCAACTGCCATGGCACCAACGGCCCACATATCCACTGGCGCGGAGTACTCCCCGGCACGTAACAGGACCTCGGGGGCGCGGTACCATCTCGTCGAGACATAGGTCGTATAGGGGGATTTCGAGTGTGTCTCGCGTGCCAGACCAAAATCGGCGATCTTCACGGTGTAAGTGGGAGGAGTGGAAGGAGGAGTGACGAGGTTAGAGTAACGGCTGAAGGCGGAGTCGTTCGGAGCAGATGTAGATACGAGGATGTTCTCGGGTTTGATGTCGCGGTGGAAGAAGTGGTGAGCGTGGATGTGGTCGAGACCAGACAGGATTTGGAAGAGAATGCTTTTGACGTGCTTCTGATCCAGGGGCTTGTGGTCACGAGCCTTCATTAGTTGGTAGAGATTGCCGTCCATGTACTCCATGCAGATATGCAGTTTGCGCGAAAGCGGGTCGAGGAAGATGTCGAGGGCCGGGACCAGGTGGGGATGGGGTGGAAGGGTCCGCAGAAAGATGACCTCACGCAACTCCAGACAAGGGCCCAACGACTCGAATGTCTTCTTCATCGTCTTGATCGCCACCTACGCAAGGAATCAGCAAACCTCACATCGAAAACTTGCATCGGCCAGGAGGAGCTTACCATGGTTCCTCTTCGTGCAACATTGGAGCCAGCTGTCCGTACACGTGCGACAGCCACGCTACCAAAGCTGCCATCACCAACCTCTTTGATGACTTCGAATCGGTCTTCAAGAGAGGCGACGGAGGCGGGAGCAATGCTCCTCAGGGAGGAATGATCGTAGCAGACAGTCATGATGTCTATCTCCTTTCGAGTCTCTGCCAGCAGAAAAACCAAGGGAACTCTTGCAGGTCGGATGAGTCGTGGAGGGGGTAGAGGGAGGAGGGGGAGGGGATTGGTATAGAGGAGTGTCGACGGGATATCTTCCTCGTAACGAATGTGTCGAAGGAGTGTAAGGGGATCTCCTGGGATTGTCGAGGGTGTTTTAGTATAGCCAGGAGCTCATCATTCGCAGTTATACTAAGTTGAGTCTGCGAAAGAAGTAATTCTGTCCATCGATGATAATGATGGAAGGTCGAAGGGTGAGATCGATGAGGTAGGTAGGTAAAGTAGGTAGGTAGTAAGGTAGTAAGGTAGTGAGGTAGTGAGGTAAGTGAGGTAAGTAAGGTAGGAGGGTGATTGATTAGATGGGGAGGGTAAAATGTAGTACGAAACACAATTCGACAAGAGGGGGAAAGGGGTAGTCATGTAGTTCTCAGGAAAGAAGCGAGGGTGGAGGAGAGGCAGATCTGGAAACAAGATGGAAGACCCAGAGGATTGGACGTGATCACTGTAGTGATAGGAGCGGACCCGTTTTGAGGTGGACACTGGGACACAAGCTAAACGAAAGGAAGGATGATCGGAGTACTACCGCCTTTTGGGGAGGGAGAGGAAGAGAGGGGGGAGGAGGGGAGAGTAGAGAGGAGGAGGAGGAGGAAGAGGGGG